TTCGTCATCCAGTAGAATCTTGGAGCTCTTGATATCACTGTGTATGACGCTAAAATCGCATCCTTTATCATGATAAATGTAACTCAATACCTTCGCAACACCAACAAAGATCTCCAACCTTCGAATCCATGTGAGGACTGGATCTCCAAGATATTCATACAGACTTCCACGGGTTTCATGCTTGTTTATGATCATCTTCTCACCACTCTCATCACAAAACCCAACAATGGATACGAGATTTCTATGCTTGGATGTACAAAGCAACGAAACCTCCATCCAAAACTCTTTGTTTCCTAGCCCTTTCTTATTATCTAACCTCCTCGCGACAATATCAATCAATTGACCGGACCTCAAGAGTTGTCCTTTGTATTCATATCCAAATGCATCTTTCCTGATGATGTTTGCATCAGAAAAGTTGTTGGTGGCAGATTGTATCTCTTCAAGTGGGATTTTTAAGTGAGCAAATTGCTTGTAGGATGATGTAGATGACATGATGTTTGTGTTTATCAAGTAAAAACCAGAGTAACAATTAACAAATTAAATGATGCGTTGTATGTAGCCGTCTTCAGTTCGTTTTTTGTTATTAATCCTAATTCCTTACATTAGATCCGTACGATGCACTTGATATTTTATTTTTAATCACGCAGGTCGATAAACATTGATTTAAAAACTGTCAACAATATGGAATGTGGCTTTTATTATTTTAATGCATCTTTAAACGCATGAGCAGTCCCCCTAAATTTATTAATCCTAATTCACTAGTACTATTATAGTATTTTAATACTTTTCTAATCGGAACCACCTGCTTCTACTCCATAAAATATTAGACCATCCAAAAGGCTAATGACTTAGCGGTATGGAGTGATCATCTCATATGAGAGGTTAGGGGTTCAAGTTTCGGTAGAGATATAGGTGATTATTTAGGAGTAGATTAGTTAGTTTGCCGTTTCAAAAAAAAAGTAAGGGCATCCATAATGCATTGAATTTCATAGAGTTTAATAAATTGTCACATCATCTATCTATAATCCTTACAACTCTATTATCTTTTTCGTGCAATGCATTGAACTCTATAAAGTTCAATAGTATGTTACAAAATGTAATTTATAATAAAGATTTAAAAATTAAAAACTTTCATTTTTCCCATCAAAGAGTTCAATAACAATTGAATTCCAAATTCATTGAATGCCAAGGTGACATCTTACAATAGTAGAGTTACATCCATTGAATGACACATAGATTTACCACCTCATTCAACTCTCTCATTGAACTCACAATTGTTGATGCTCTAAGTGGGTGCTAATAATCATGCATTATAGTATATCTTAAATATTATATAAAGGGAAAAAATCGGCTTAATTAAGACATGCCATGAAATATGCTATATTAATCAAGATATTAGTCATATATTGATGAATAGGTTATAACTCGTGGGAACCACTGTAACATCCCAAAATTTAAGGCCAAAAATTTCATTTTTAATATAAGAAAACCTTTAATTACTATGTTCCAGACATTGAAAACATTTCAATTAAAACAAATATCAAAGTCTAATCCCAAAGATCACATAATGCAAAATAACATGGGTGAATGCGTTGCGAATTTGCGATCGTCCCGAGCTCCATTTTCTTGAAAACTGAAGATACCTGAAACCAAAACTGTAAACTGTAAGCACGAAGTTTAGTGAGTTCCCCAAATACCATATACCATACATATCAAATGGGCCATACATGCCATATATATTGTGAGCCATACATATCAAACATATTCATAATCAAGTAAGGTGCTATGTGCCAAAGATAGTCTTGCCATTATGCCACAGATCGCACGTGGTCTTTCTTGCCAAGCCTAGGGCCACCCCTCGGTCTTACAGACAAGTGCCAAGAGCCACCTCCTGGTCTTCCATGCAAGCATCGCAAAGACAACTATCATACATACTACTTTACTTAGCTAATCATCATACAGTGTGTCAGGAGCCACATCCTGGTCTTTCATACATAATAGCATACAGTGTGCCAGGAGCCACCTCCTGGTCTTTCATACATAATGCCTAGGGCTAACCCCGGGTCTTCCTATCATACAAAAACTAAATGGGTCGGCATTGGTGCCTTAGACCTATACAAATAGTGAGGAGACTCACCTCACAAACTGACTGTAGAACCCTACGAATAAACCTCTCGCTGTAAGATGGCGGATCCCCGGACTGTTGGTCTCTTGACTCCCTGAGCTACCATTACCGAAAGTGACAATCAGACCAATTCAATAATCCTACCAGGGTAAAATAACCATTTTACCCCTAGTCTAAATTGTTGGATAAGGTGTCTAAGTCCGTAACTGTATTTGGTATGTACTTGACCCGGCCCGGCATGGTCATTTGGGTTGCACTTCACTGAAACAATTTATATGGATAATCTTTTGAGAATAGTATATTTATGATTTATTAATATATTATTAGTTATAATATATTAATATGAAATCTTATTATTTAATTAGTATTGATCAAGAATTAATTTAGAAGTAATTTAGCGATCAAAATGAACTAATTACATATGGACTCTTATATATATAGAATGTGCCAAGTTCATTTAGGATGGGCTAAGCTTGCATGGATAGTCCATGGAGTTTTTAACCCATGGATCCTATGGAAATAAAAGGTCATGGGTATTAGGGTTTACATGCATGTAACCCTAATCCTTCATACTATATAAAGAGGTCTTTGGCACATGAAATGGCACTACTGTGTGAGTGAACAAGGGTGGGCTGATTTCTACAAGTGCATTCTATTCTCTCAAGTCTTCCAAGGTGTTTTGGTGATTTGTGATTCCACTTAAGGCATCCACATTATTGGTGTCAAGCTCTCAAGACTCCAAGCAATCAACCACAAGAAAAGGCATGTTATTCTACTATGTTTTTATGTTACAAGTACCCCATAACATGCTAGTTAGGTTGAGAACCTTGGAAAATCAAATTTGCATGTATAATAGAGAAAACATAGATCCAAGGTTTCTAGGGTTGCAGGTACACCATAGGAGTGTTAGAATGCTCAAAACCCTTCAGTGGTATCAGAGCCTAGGCTTGTTTTCATTATACATGATGCAAACTACTTGAAAAAGTCGAAATTCTGCTAACTGTATAGTGAACTCACCGAGTAGGCCTGCCAATTGTGTCATGTTCGGGTTGGCGTGTCGCGGGTTGTCGGGTTGGTGGGTCAAAATATGCCAACCCAAACACGACCCATTTAAATATACAGGTCACGGGTTGGAGGGTTTGGAACATAAACCCATATATGACCCGCCAACCCATTTATTTATACGGGTTCACAGGTTGACGGGGTTGTGGGCCAGATTTGGGTTCGTGGGTCCGAATTTTAGACATTTAAGTCTTAAACATCCAAAAGAAAATTAAAAACATTCATAGAAACATAGTACACACTTAGCCTTATAGGTTACGACTTACGACCTTAGACCATCCACCACGAGTCAAAATGTCAAAACAGTTAAGTGGTCTATGAATCAATGGTATATATTATATAATACTTATTAAATATTAGTACTTTATACATATATACATTTAAAAATAAAATAAATTTATTAAGAATATAAACGGGTTGGCGGGTCAACCCGTTTATTTTTTGAGAAACCCATATATGACCCGTTTAATAAACGGGTTGGCGGGTTGAAAAACTCAACCCAAACCCATTTATTTCGTGTCGTGTCACGGGTCGTGTTGAGAATTGCCAATCCTATCGCCGAGTCCATGGTGGGACTCGACGAGTCCAATTGTATACTCATCCTACTTGTCGAGTAGGTTCTTGCACTCGACGAGTAGGAGGCCCTGTGTCATTACCCTAAACTGTTTTGGACTTATAAAACCTGTTTTTAATGTGGTAATGATTATGCTAATCCACTTTCAATGGTTATTATCAAATTTTCAATTTTTATATGTGTTTATATGATTTTTGAAATTGTTGATATGAATGTTCATACTTATGAGTTTTAGTAGATCATACCAATTATTTGCAAATTTTTGTTAGTGTAATTCTTGATCTAAATGCCAATTAATGGACTCCATAACTTGTCCTTAAGTTATAGAATTCCAAAAGTCTTTTTTTTAAAGCCATTAAAACTCATAAGTTATAGAAATGAAAAGTTTTTGAATAGTTTCAAAACTTGCCCTCAAGTTTTGAAATTTGTAAAGTCTCACATGCACTTTAATTCCAAACCCTAGAATTTTAAAAGTTAAAATCCAACCCTTATACTTTATAGTATTATAAGTTTATATATATATATATATATATATATATATATATATATATATATATATATATATATATATATATATATATATGTATGTATAAAATCAAGTCAGTCTTACCGTTGGTAGGACTTATTCATGAAACCAGTCTATAAGGGGGGGGGGGGGGGTATAAGGTTGTTTCCTATAAAATGGCAGCTTAATGGGTGTCCACTCTCACCCACAGTTTCCTTGACTGGTGGAGGGTCGTTAGTCGAACGGGTATGACAAGGACTACAATTCTCATTAAAAGTATAATGATAAATATAAAGTAACTAAACCTTTTATAAATTCCCAATCTTAGTTACTCTAGGAAAATGTGAAATTGGTGCTAACCCATGAAATTACACTTTGTACCTTACCAAGCCGTTGGTGGAGCGTGTGTGGGTAACCGACACACTAACATGGACTAGTAAGAGTGGCAAAGGGTGACTTAATCTTTATCATAGATCGGTGGAGCGCATGTGGGTAACCGACACATTGATTATGTGATAAATTAAAAGGGTACCAAGTTAATTTCCATGGTTATTCACACCTTGTTTGTGATCCTCGGCATCCTAGTCACAAACTTGAGAGGGCATAATCGAGATTTTGAACATGCCATTGAAAAGTTCAATGGATCTCAAAAGATCTAGGAGTTTCAATCCAATTAAAACCTAATAATTTATTTCGTTTTTCATGGTGGAAATTGGTGAATCATCATTCGCCTACCTTCAAATATTTTATAGCTTGGATTACGACATCCCTTTTCCAAGTTGTAAAGTATTGTGTTGGGTCCTAGCCTTAATATTGCATTTAGGAGTCTTATTAAGGATCCTATATCTAATCTAAACTTGTCTTTCTTTTTTTCAGATGTCTTCCAACAATGTTGCTCCTGGCTCAAACCCAACCGGCTCCTTCTCTCACATAAACCTTTGTGGGAGAGTCACTTTGATGGTTCAAACTTTAATGATTGGATCTGGAACATCAGGATGGTCACACGTTACAAGGACAAAGAATATGTCCTTGACAAGGAGCTGAAAGAAATTGATGAGTCTACTGCTACTCCATAGGAGATCGCTGACCATAGGGCACATGAGAGAGATGCTACCAAGGTGGCATGTATCATGTTGGCCATAATGACAACTGAACTCCAGAAGTCCTATGAGGACTTTTACCCTTTTGAGATGCACATGGAACTGATGGACCGCTACCATCAGAGT